GCATGTAGTTTTCAAAGAGATTACCTCAGATTTTACATCTTTTGACTAGACATTAATACAACCAAGCTACAACATAGTTAAATTGGCAGTAAAAAAGCCAACAATTTGACTTGAGGAAACTCTCTTCTATCTTATGTGTTAGCTATTTTAGATTAAATTAGTATCACTGTAGCAGAACTTATATTAGGTAACCTACATGTTAACTTCTATTATAAATCATACATGCTACGTGTTGACAAACTCTACCCTCCAGTGTGATTCAACATGCCTTCGTAGGTCCGATCGACGAGTAAATGACTTGTCACACGACATGCACTGATAGGGCCGCTCTCCCGTGTGTATTAAAGTGTGCCTCCGTAAATCTGACTGTCTCGTGAATGACTTGGTACACACAGAACACTGAAAAGGCCGTTCACCAGAGTGATTCAACATGTGTCTCTTGAGGTCCGACTGTCTAGTGAATGTTCTCTCACAAGCTGGGCATTCATAAGGTCGCTGTCCAGTATGACTCAACATATGCCGGTTCATATCAGATCGGCGTGTAAAGCATTTATCACATACAGGACATTGATGGGATCCTTCTCCGGTGTGACTAAACATGTGTGTCTTTAAGTACGACTGACGTGTGAACGCTTTATTGCACGAAAGACACTCGTAAGGGCGTTCGCCTGAATGACTCAACATGTGTCTTTTCAAATCGGACCGTCTTGTGAAACACTTCTGACATGTAAGACACTGGTTAGGGCTTTTGCCTTGACTATACATGAGTGTGAGTAATTCTCAAACAACAGACTTCAAAATGTATACATGATCTTTATGATTTGGCATTTGTACAAATTGTTATCTCCAATTATCAGGATAATATTTAAGTATGCAAATACTTATGGTTCTCCAAAACAATTTTTTAATAGTAACACATTTCATTTATCAGTTTACCTTAACCGATTCACCTATAACTGCTTCTTTTTGTATGAAGTTATTTCAACAGTTTCTTTGAGAATTCACATATCCGGTTCAGTACCTTTCTAAGTTAGGGCAGTGTATAAGTTGATTCTTGGAGTCTTAACTTGGTTGTGATTTTATGAAGATCATCTATATGGCGTCATTTACACAACATCTGAAAGAATATTATACATAAATACATAGAAAGATTATTGATACTTCAGAAAAGTCAGTTGTTGGGTATTCCTCTTGCATACAATAGACTCCCTCTTATCCGGACTCCTCGGGACCGAGGCCAGTCCGGATAACGGGTTTTCTGGTTATACCAACGTCCCCCAAAACTCACTGGCCAAATGTCACTGGCATACAGTTTTGTGTCCTTAATAACTCTATGACCTAACAATAAATATTCAGGCTAATCTAAAACTCAAAAAGTCTAAAACTCATCCCATAATATTTTGACTAGCATTAGGCCTAGAATCTTTAAAACTCAAGTGAGCTGATTTAACCCTTCCAGGGCTTTGGACGGATATCTCCGTCAATCTTCGTTTACTTTGCAGGCTGAAAACGGATACATCCATCCCGAGAAATTTCTTTTCTGGGCTAAAGACAATAATCGCCCATTAAACTAATTGATATTCATTGTTTATAATGCAAAAATAAACATTACACTGCATTATAAATGTATTTTGTTTTCGTGGTTTGCAATAATAATTTTATCAGCTGCTTCAGTTATTATTTTTCACCATAGAGTTAATATTGTGAAACTGGCACTTCACACGTGGTTGTTAGTGAGTGATGTTTACATTTGTGTTTTGGGCTTCATTTTTTGTTATTGAGCTAAAGTGACCAATTGGAACAATCTGAAATTTAAAGATGTTTTGAGATGCTTGGTAAAAGTAACTTATTATTACTGAGGGGATTTTTTGGCAATGAAAATGATAGTATGGAATGTGATGGATATGATGAACCAGAAGAACAGTCGTTACGTAGTGGAAGTCTTGGTGGGGAATGGGTACCTATGAGGTTATGGGAGCAGAACTGAGTGGTCAGATTTACCTACTTCAGAATTATAGTTAGCCTACATTTTTATGGATAAAAAATCAAAAAAGGGTAGGAATAGCCTAAGGTTGACGAATATATCCGTCTGCCGCCCACAAGAATACTCAAGATTATTGGCAAAGTGTTCATATTTTGTGATTATCACTAAGGGCGGCAGATAGATATATAAGTTACGTCCACCTAATGTTTTTTGTGGGCCTAAGACACATATTGTGGTATCCATCATATTAAATTTTATTTTCTTCATAACTTGTGTAGCCTACAAAAAATTAGTGCAGTGCTAAGAAAAGTCTGTTTATGATCCATGAACTAGTCGGAAGCAAAATGAATAAAAAATGTACCATGAACACTTAAATTTTTGAACTTTGGCAAAACCTATATAAAAGGTTGAGTAAAATGAAAATTACCAAAATTTACCCAGTACCTAAAGGGCGAAAGGTCAGACCCCAATAATTATAGGCCTATCTCAAACCTACCCACCATCTCTAAACTGCTCGAAAGGACAGTCCATAATCAATTGATAGCCTACTTGGAAGACAACAACCTACTTTCCCCTTGCCAGCATGGGTTTAGGAAGGGGTTTAGCACAAACACAGCAATACCTAAGCTATGCAAGGACATAAACGACATTTGGGTAGGTAAAAAAGTGCAACAGGATTTTTTCTAAACCTGCAAAAAGCATTCGATAACTTAGACTGGAATATTTTTATGAGCAAACTGCAGCAATTAAACATTACAGACATAGCCCGGCGTTTGATTGTAGACTACCTAACAGACAGATTCCAGTTTGTAGAAATTCAGCACCAGCAACAAAACACCGTATCAAGTATTAAGTCAAGTTTGAGGAAGACTACCAGAGGCGTTCCACAGGGCTTGATAGTCGGTCCACTGTATTTCCTGACATCAACATCCTACCAGAATCATTCAAAGGCAACATAAATTGTAATTTATTTGCAGACGACACAACCATAGTAGTACCCACCAACCATCTTATTGACAATAGTAACCTAGTAAACTCAACAATTGACAGAGCAAACACTACATGCAACTCTATGAAACTTAATATTAACAAAGCAAAGACTGTCCTTGTAAACTTTACTCCAAACAACAAAAACGAATCTGGTGGCAATTGGCATGACCTCAGCATACCCCTATCGGGCTCAACAAAATTTCCTCGGAATATATGTTGACCAAAATCTCAGATGGCAGGACCACGTTGACTACCTCTGTGGGAAGTTATCTTCTGCACACCACGTTGTTCGAAGAATTAGAGCCATCACTACTGAACCTACAGCATTAATAACCTACCACTCCCTCTTTTCTTCACATTTGCGTACTATGGAGTTGTTGTCTGGGGATCCACAGCAGACAAGAACATGGAACGCATCCTCACCATCCAGAAGAAGACCATAAGGACAATCTTTCAACTGCCATCCCATGAACACTGCAAGCCGATTTTCAGAGATCACAAAATCCTTACAGTCATATCCCTGTACCTGTTGGAATCCATCACACTTCAAAAAAATCGACACCTACCCTAAGATCAGAACAACATTCATACAACCTCCGCAAGACACATAGCATAGACTTGCCACAACATCGATTGCAGAAATTCAACAATAGGCCTAGTCCTCACTATTCCCGGCTCTTACTTCTTCAATTTATTACCACCACAACTCAAAACCATAAAAAAACCTGTCACCTTCAATAGCAAACTAAAACAATAGTTAATAGATAGACATACTACACAGTCTCCGACTTCATTGAAGACATTTAAGTACCTAACCTCTAGCGAAAATGAGATGGTGGCCAACACTATTGAACTCATGTCAGTTAAGGTTTATATTTATTTAGGGTAACTTATGCAGGATGGCTAAATGTGGAAAACATGGCAAGACATAATAGGAATAGGTAAGTAGGCCTAGCCCAATGAATGTGCTATTGTACTTTACCTAACAAAAAGAATTACTTAACAATAATAAGCATTGGTACTAGACCTTATTTACACATTGTACTTGGCAGCATGACTAAAACTAATAAGCTAGTTCCTTACAATAATAGGCTACAATTTTCAGAATAATATTTTAACTAAAACCCAAATTTAAACATACGTGTTTACCTCAATTTAGGCCTAGCAATAGGCAAAGGTAGCCTGGGATCCAATAGCGAAACATAACCTCAAAATGATTTATTCTTGGTTAATTTGGATTTGGGCGGACAACGCATGAATTATACAGTAACAAAAACTAAATGCCTAGTAGAGGCTATGCTTAAGTTCAAATTCGACCTAAACAACGCAAGAATTTGTGATGGTGATGAGATGATGGTTTGTTTTGTTTTCATTCCAATGATTGTTTGATATTGTTCTTGTTCTTCTTACATTCATCTTTTTTTTTAATGTCGTTTGTCCCGTCACAAACACCACAACCACTGAGCTATAATAATAACCGTCTCTCTCGCAGCAGTAGGGGTCGCCGGAATTTTATCTCCCTGGAATTTTACCCCCCGGAATTTTACCCCCGGATTTTTACCCCCCGGAATTTTACCCCCTGGCCGATTTTAGAAATTGAATGTTTGATTTTCTTATTTCTGTTTTTAATTAATTGTAAACATTTCATTATTTAGTAGCCTATCTTTATTTATTTAACCCCTCAAAAAGATTGTCAAATGGGTGGACCCCCTCTTGCAATAGTATTCAATAGTTTTCATGAACGAATAATCAATCAGTTATTTTTAGCGTCAATCGGTTATTTTTAGTTTATAGAATCGCCGAATTAATTTTAGTCATTATTCACTGTCCCAAACCACAACTTATTTTTATCTAACGAGAAACTGAATACTGAATAGCATTTAGCGTCAATCGGTGATTTTTAGTTAAACGATTTTCCGTACAACAACTAATTTTACCTGTACTCCAGGATCTGAAGGGGGTTGAGTATGCATGAAAAGGCTGACGCAATTTTATTTCTGACTAGCTGTGAGTACCCGTTCTTCGTACGGGTTTATTCAAGAATAAGGTTACAAACTTTTTGTAATAACAATGATTAATTTATTTTAACATAATTTAGTACATAAAAATACATTAAAAAACTTAAATCTTAAAAAATATTCGAAAGTTTTAAATAACAAAGTTGGCAAAGATAGCAGAGTTGAAGCGCTTAACATTTGTCACAGCGAAATTACAATATCAAAATTTCAAAAACAACAAATGACATACATTGAAAATAAATATTAAATAGTGAAGAAAAACAAAAAACACAAAAAATTAAAAGGTTGCCTAACTTAATGCCTCTTCATATACTATATTAGTGGTTCGACCGCCTGGGGCATGTATGTAAAGGTTGGTTGGCGATCGCACTCGGCTGCACGCCACGTACAGCTGTCCGTGTGAAAAACATTGCGCGTCACCTAGTTCAATCCCTGCTGTTGACAGTGTCTGACCTTGCGATTTGTTGATCGTCATGGAAAAACATGGATTTAAGGGAAATTGCAGGCGCTTAAACTCAAAGGGATAGTTGCTTGGGATGAGGGGGATCCGGGGGACAAACACCACTTCTCCCGCACCACAGCCTGTTAGAATTTCGGCTTCTATGACATTTCGCTGGAGACTTCGAATTCGAAGCCGAGTCCCATTGCATAATTTAGGAGGGTTTAAATTTCTTAGAAGCATAACGGGAATACCAATTTTAAGATTAAGTTCGTGGGCGGGTAGTCCAGGTGCTGTCACCGAGTCAAGAAACTCTGCCGGGTAGTGCACTGCGTCATCATTTCTTAGAACTGTGTTCACCGACAAATATGTCTTGTCCTCGCTTAGGAATAGGGACATCACTTTCTTATTTATCTTTGTTGAAACTTCATTTTTTGGAGTGAGAATAGCCCTATTGCATAACCAGGCACTGCTCTTGTTTGGGAGGTCTTCAATTCCTGGATAGACTTTCTCGATGAGTTCATCTTGGGTTTGAACAATAACACCAAGAGAAGGTGGTATATCGATAGTTCCATCAACGTTACCCAGCTTTCCATCTCCCAACTTTAACAGAACATTGGAGAATTCTTCCACCTCATTTCCAATATTGGCCCGCATGTTCTTTGTTAACGCCAGTTTGTTCATTATTGGCCATAGGGTAGATCTTTTCATAGAGGCGTTAATTTCATCCGCCCTTGTGCCTCTCACTACAACTGGCAGAGTTTGGCGGAAGTCACCAGAGAACAATACCGTCACTCCACCCATGATCTTATTACTGTTCCTCATATCTTTGAGTGTTCTGTCGAGGGCCTCGATTGTCAGTTTATTGGACATCGTACACTCGTCCCAGACTATTAAGGAGGCTGCTTGTAGAACTCGTGCCATGGGAGCGCTCTTCGATATAGAACAAATCGGGATGTCCATATGCTCTACATTTATTGGGATTTTGAACATGGAATGGGCAGTTCTTCCACCTGGCAGAAGGGTTGCTGCAATGCCAGAAGAGGCCACAGCAAGAGCAATCTTACTGTTTGATCTAACCTTTGCGAGAATCAGCTTTATGAGGTAGGTCTTTCCAGTACCTCCAGGAGCATCAAGAAAAAACATCTTGTTTCTTTGTCCATTTATGCTCGTCAAAACTTGCTCATACACTTGGCGCTGCTCCTCGTTGAGAGTTGGCGTACACTGTTCAATAAACCTAATGAGTTCGGGATGGTCGTAACTTGTCTCTCTGATATAATCATGGTTTAACTGATTGACATCTATGGCTGGTACTGGTAAGTTGTAGCTTTCGAGCCCAAGTCCTCCCATGCGAGTGATTGTCTCTTGAATGCTTGCTAGGCACTGGTCATATATGATAGGATTGTTTTCAAAGGTGGTGTTAATGTCGACTTGATGTGCAGATCTCAAAAAGTCCTCTGAGAGGGAATCTCTGAATCTGATCCAGAGCTCAAGAGGGTTGCTCACATTGCAAAATACTAATAAGACACTGAAGAGATCCCTCAACTTGGTGGGACTGTCAGAAACAGCAGCTTCTGCAAGAGTGCCCTCCCAGCACGCATCATCCTCTAGTAAACCAAGGGCACGGCATGCGGATTGGAAATTTGGATGGAGCACACCATCAACAGTCTTGAGATCCTCAAAAGATGTTGGACCTCGAACAGTGTGTAGGAGGAGTCGGAGATGGTAACGCTCACTGCAGCTTGGATGGACAGTGTACACCCTACCGATGCACGGATCTTGTCTCACGTCAGGATGTCCTGGTACTGGTTGTCCTCTCCGCCTCCTGGACCAACCTCTTTGTTTAGAGTATGTGTAATAATAGGGCAACTCGTTGTAGAGGAGGGTTCTTGAAAAGGCGTCCGTCTGGCAGAGATTGAAGAAGGCCAAAAGAGTTGTACTTTGGTCCATTCTTTCCCGAACATTGCCTGGCTGGAAATATACTCTTTGCTCATTTGGAAGGTGGACCTCTAAATGCAACACAGCGGGAAACCTCTCATGTATAGGAAATGATAAAATTCTCCATACCGCCTCAGATGTGCATATATACCGACCACTTTGGTACATTTTAATTTCGTCTGTGTCATTACTTACTGCAAATGTGGCCTGGTCACTGCCCTTGTTTATGTACTTGCAGATGTACTTTATAGATTTTACACTGCTACAGTACTCAACGTTAACATGTGTTAGAAATGTTCGGGACAATACAGGCGAGTAAGGTACTACCCATCGGTTGTCCATAGGGATTTCATCGTTACCTACTCTGATTAGGACATGATGGCCTCCATCATCTGGGGAGCGCCTTCTGTATGTTGGGTATCCATTGTCTCCTGTTTCCGTTTCATTGACAAATGGTCTAGGGTATCTTTTGCTACAGTGACCATCCTTCATACAGGGAAGCTTGCGCTGTCGCACATTAAAAGCTCCGCATGGTCCGTGCAGCATGTGAGTCTTGACTATATCTGCAAGTTCAGGATCAGTTTCAGGATTTGGAAGCTCTGCAGAAATGACTTGATCTATTCTATTTGGAGGAATGGATTCTTCAAGCCAAATCAGGATATGAGCGTGTGGAAGACCACGTTTCTGCCATTCAACAGAGTACATGTAGCAGCGAACTGAGCCATAAATCTGGCCTTTCATAAGAACAGCAATCATACAGTTAAGCTTCAAATGAAAAACTCGTGATACCACATCATACCGGTCGTGAGCAGACTGCCTTTCTCCAATTACACTCGTGATTTCTATCCATTTTGGATTTGTTGTCATTGTTATGAAAAGTTCTGGACGACCAAACTTCCGAACATAGCAAAAGGCGTCCTGTGTGCGAGAATGCATATATCTAGGACCTCCAGTGAAGGTGGCAGGTAAAATTATCTTTTGCCCCATTTCTTCTACGTTGTCGTCTCGTCTTAAAGCGTCTTGAAGGTGTATGTAATTCTCTGCTCTCAGTTCCTTTTGGTGCGTACGAAGATACAGCAGCCTTTCACTCTCAACTTTAGCGTACATGTCCACCAAGTACTGGTTCAAAAGCTGTTTGAATTTATGAATGTGATTTGCTTCACCTTCTCTAACCATAATGCGATAGGCGTAAAACTCTCGTGAGCTAGTTTTCTTTGTGGTTGGTTGTTTAGTAACCGGGTTTACATGATATAAATTGAAACTATATCCATCTTCGCCTCTACAAAACATAAGGGGATATTGTAGGGCATCATAAGATCGGTGGGTTTCATATATTCGTTTCAAACCCTGTTCTCTTGAATTTAAAATGATGTCTCGATGGTCACTTGGATCCCCAATCATCAAAATAGCAACCTCATTGACTGTTGGTTCATTGTATCTACCTGGGTGGTCCCCTGCAGGGCGTCTGTCGGCTCTAATAACAATTTTGAAATCAGGTGAATCTACAGGAAATGTTTCTAAAGTAGTTTTGAAGCTGAGCAAGTAGGCGTTATTATTCTGAAGCATGTTTTGCAAAGCGGCCAACATGTCATGATCAAGGTCTTGAAATAAACTTTGCCTTCTTTGAAGCTGGACTTGGTCATCCCCAACAAAGTAAATCTGAAGGTAAGACGGCGGAAGTCCAGGGGGTGGCAAAAGAGAGCCGATCAAATGGTACACTTGTCCTTGAACCTTAAATGTAGGCATATATGGTCCTTCACGGATTTCATTACCTCCAAAAGAAGTCATTTGGAACGCACTATTGTAGGCCCTGATATGTCTAAGAAAATTTCGCGATTGAGGTGATTCGTCCGATATCCATGTACGTAGCGGCTCAGGTGCTTCCAAAATAGACGGTATGGTCACTTTACCAGAAGCACAACATATTCCACGTGGTTCCTTTGACCAACTCAAAGCGTGACAAAACCTACAAACTTTATCAAAATCTCCAATATTGGCAGCTTCACTGTAACGTGTAAAAGGATCATATTGGAATCCACTGTTGTGTGTGTCTCGCCATTCTGTTAAATTTCTTTCGACATGCCGAGTTCTTTCCCGCGCGATCCTAGTTTGTCTTTCTGCGTCGCTCTCAACGACTCTGTTCACCCTATGTCTTTCAGAATCAGCGGCAACACGGGCATTTCTGTCAGCAATGTCCTGGCTTGCTCGAAGTTCCTCCACTCGGGTCGCCTCGTCATGCAAAAGTAGAGTTTGCTCTTCAACAGTGCGACGGTACCTATCATTGTCGATTATATGTCTAGCTTCCCGCTCTTCAGGAGTTTCATTATTCCTACGTTGGTTTTGCCGAACTCTATCTCGTTCTTGCCTACTTTCTCTCTCTTCTCTTGTTTCATTTTCCCTCCTGCGAACGTGTAGGATTCGGTCACTGTTTCGACGTGCTCCTCCCTCCTCCACTGTCTCGTTTTCCCTCCTTTGAACATGTAGTATTCGGTCACTCTCCCGACGTGCTTCTTGCTCCTCCTCTGTTTCGTTTTCCCTTCTCTGGACGTGTAATATTCGGTCATTGTTCCGACGTGCTTCTTGCTCCTCCTCTGTTTCGTTTTCCCTCTTCCGTACGTGTCGTATTCGGTCACTGTTCCGACGTGCTTCTCGCTCCTCATCTGTCTCGTTTTCCCTCCTCTGAACATGTAGTTTTCGGTCACTCTCCCGACGTGCTTCTTGCTCCTCCTCTGTTTCATTTTCCCTCTTCCTTACGTGTATTATTCGGTCACTGTTCCGACGTGCTTCTCGCTTCTCATCTGTCTCGTTTTCCCTCCTCTGAACATGTAGTATTCGGTCACTCTCCCGACGTGCTTCTTGCTCCTCCTCTGTTTCGTTTTCCCTCCCCCGAACGTGTAGTATTCGGTCACTGTTCCGACGTGCTTCTCGCTCAACCTCTGTCTCGTTTCCCCTCTTCTGAACTTGCTGTATTCGGTTGCTGCACCGACGTGCATCTCGCTCCTCTTCTGTCTCATTTTCTTTTCTCTGGACGTGCCGTATTCGGTCCCTGTTCCGTCGAGCTTCTCGCTCCTCTTCCGTCTCATTTTGTATTCTTTGGCTAAATCTTAAACGTTCAGTGTCTCGCCTGCTTTCACGTTCTTTTTCATTCTGCTGAGACCTAAATAGGGCGACACGCTCTCGACTGGTTGAAGGTCGTGCATAATCTTCAACCACAACGGAACTTAAAATTGTCGACTCATTATTGCTATGTACACCATCATCAGAGTCCGAATCATCATAATCAACTGATTCCGTGGATACACACAATTTTTGTCTCTTGGCATTATTTGTTTTTCTACCCAAATTGCTTTTTCTCTTGCGAGGCATACTCTTCAGGACATATTTATTTAGAAACAATAGAAAATATTTCAACAAATAATGTATTAAAGATTAACTTGTAACCTCTCAACTAAAGCAACAAAAATATTGTCCATATGTTTAGTTGTAAACAAATTTAATTTGTGTTTGACACTATGTCAACGAATATCTCTACTGTACAGTATGAAACATCTGATTGATGCAAATTCATATGGGAATATGAACTTTTTTAAAAACATTACCTCAAAAAAAAAATAAATTAAAAGAAGAGTAGATTTTCTTTTATTTATAAACGTGAAATAATTTAGGACATTATTAACTATTATAACTTTTATTTTGGTGTAAAGAGTAATGAACAATAATAAACTGGTCAAGTTTGTTTGCTGGTTAGTAGCGCACAGATATTAAAGAATAACAATCAGCTGATCGTAATTTTGTTATCTAAAATGTTTAACTTTTATATTGAACTAGCTGTGTACCCGTTCTACGCACGGGGATCTTATAATATTCAGTTGAAACCTTCTTATATAACGAACAGCAGTTGGTTTGCATATTTTAAGATATGCTGGCCAAACTATTATACATAGCTTCATTTTATGTTGTTTTTTGTTGTTCCGGATCGGTATGACAATCAATAAAAGGTTAAATTACCTCTGTGTCTGCCGGTCGATCCTATAACGGTAGGCTTACTTTTATTTTTACTATCTGATCTCGTTTGCATGGCTCAATCACGTCCTGGTTGAAGTTCGTTCGCTACGCTCACTCACCTGTATGTTGGAGCTCGTTCGCTGCGCTCACTTTCCTTCAGGTTAGCTCGTTCGCTACGCTCACTTGCCTTCAGGTTAGCTCGTTCGCTACGCTCACTCGCCTCCAGGTTGCAAATTAGCTGTTGTCATAAATGTAAAAGAAATAATAGTGCTAGTGCTGCACCCTGTTGGTAATCCTTGTAACTTTAATGCTATTGAACATCACAGAACAGAACCAACTTGTTTAATTGAAACAGCTGTTAAGATTCAATAATTTCATTTCTCATAAGGTTAACATGGGCTTCCAGAAATTCCACGTCAAAAATCGACAAAAACTTGATTTTCAAGGGTTTACTGTTAAATATCTAACTGTCTCATATTCGATGAAATACGTCTAAAACCATCTCATATATGTATAGTATTTGGAAAATAAGTTTCAGGCGGGACAGTGCTATAGTTATTGAGGAGTAGTTGTAATAAAGTGCGTATTTTAGCGTTACCAAGAGAATGACAGATAGACAGACAGACAGACAGACAGACAGACAGACAGACAGAAATTGAGATAAGGTTTGATTCGGTTTCTCTGACCTATGAAATGTAAAAATAACCAAAAAGTTCATTATTCTAAGCAATGTACAGACAAAACTCTAATTTTATTTATATAGATACTTTGTATTGAATCTGTAATTTGAATTAAATTTACTTCTTACCAATTAATGTATTATTATTTTAATTATTTGTACGGTAATGGATGAAATGTACAAAACCCATTGTTATAATTAGCAGAACTGGTGTTCAGTTATATAATATAGTATACATTTCGTATGGTTTTTAAGTTGTGTGAATCGATAAGGCTATGGTTAACCTTGAGTTCAAATAGGCTAACGTTTTCTAATCACAGCTGTATGCCAATGTCAAAATTAAGATTGTATTTCAATTAAAACCATGTGCATATGATTAGTTGTAAACAAAGCAACATTCTTCCAGAAATTCCACGTCAAAAATCGACAAAAACTTGATTTTCAAGGGTTTACTGTTAAATATCTAACTGTCTCATATTCGATGAAATACGTCTAAAACCATCTCATATATGTATAGTATTTGGAAAATAAGTTTCAGGCGGGACAGTGCTATAGTTATTGAGGAGTAGTTGTAATAAAGTGCGTATTTTAGCGTTACCAAGAGAATGACAGATAGACAGACAGACAGACAGACAGACAGACAGACAGAAATTGAGATAAGGTTTGATTCGGTTTCTCTGACCTATGAAATGTAAAAATAACCAAAAAGTTCATTATTCTAAGCAATGTACAGACAAAACTCTAATTTTATTTATATAGATTGTTGTTATAGGCACTATAATCACGAAAACGCATGTTATCGCCCCCCAGATTGGTCGACATCCCGGGGGGAGGGGGGCAATATGCTGGCGGGTGGCGCCGTTTCACCTATAACTCTAGAACTATTATTGGTAGAACATTGAAATAAACATCAATTTACTCATAAAATGTTGATCTTTAAAAATGTTGCTGCGTTGAAATTCGTATCTTTGTAGGTTTTTTATTTTAGTTATTTTATCAGAGTCATTAAAGAAATAACCCCGCCGTAGCAAACCTGCAGACTAAGCGAATTTACACTTACCTGACTGGATTTCTATTAAAATATTGTCAGCTTTTCTGACAATTGTACTGAAAATTGTCAGCTTTATTTCCTATTAAAATAAAATTAATTTTAAAGAGTTGATAGGTTTGATGCTACAGGGAAAGTATTGAGCTATTTTTATTGAAATGTTGATAGCTTAGTATGAAATAAACAAAATTGCCAAATTTGATTAAAATATATCCATAAATAAACAAACTACACCAGCTTATTTATTCTCCATAAAAATAACATGGGAAATTTGAATTTAAAGTGTTTTTTTTTTTTTTACTATCTCCGCAACCGTTAGGCATACAGCAAAACGTCAACATACAAAATTATTTATTTTTAAGCTCTACGAAATTGTTTGGAAAGAAGTTGTGAAATTTTATGTTTTCAGAGGCAAAAATGGGAAAAACCTATTTTTACCCCATATATTGATTTTTAGCTTCAATATAAAATAGCTAAAAAAACCAACAAAGATACGAATTTCAACACAGTACATTTTTAAAGATCATAATTGTATGAGTAAATTGACGTTTATTGCAATGTTCTACCTATAATACTTCTAGAGTTATAGGCGTTTTAGTTAGTGATGTGCGTATAGATACAGATATCGATCCAAGGACCGCAAAATATCGATATTTTGTATCAATATTCAATACGTGGTAGTTACACTACACCTATAGCCAATATCGTATCGAAAATCGAATATCGTATTGTTTATTTATTAATATAAATCTTATTTTTAAGGTAAGAAATTTGTCTTCCCATCTTCCTCCCCTCAAAAGTAGTAGGGGAAATTTTATATTTTACCCTACCATCCTCAAAAACACTGATAAAACATGTATTTTCAGCTATGTTTTGCAAATAACCTCAAAACTAGGGTCACCATTAATGGAATTGGGGTCACTCATTATCCATATTATATTATTTAATGTGTAAGTGGCATACCCACCATCATTATAAGTACCTTTTGGTTCAATTAATTATCCCTGTGTAAAAAACAAGGAAACAATAACAAAATGTTTTACAATTTTGAGGTTTTACCGGAATTTGCGGGTTATGTATGTGAGTTCGATACAAATAAAATCACACAGAAAGGAAAGGGCTTTTCTGAGGTAAGATTACATGCACTAACCCTCTTTACAAGCTTATAAGTAACATAGTATTTGTCTATGCAGCTTGTATATTTGAGATATTTACATTTCTTTTTATTGTATAAATAAACAATACGATACGATATTTTATCCGATACGGGTAAAAATCGATACATGAGGATACGATACGATACACGTATCGATGAACCATGTTCCGATACGTATCGATACATTGACCCATATCGCACATCACTAGTTTTAGTAAACAGCGCCCCCCACAATATTGCCCCCCTCCACAACGGGATGTCGACCACACTGGGGGGCAACAACATGCGTTTTCGCAATCACTTTAGTGCCTATAACAACAATCAGAAACGAAATTGCATCAGCCTTTCATGCATACTCAATCCCCTTCAGATCCTGGACTAATGATGATGTGATGATAAACCGAATAACATTTAGTCAACAGGCCTAACAAGTACCTACCTTTTTTTTTTACTTATCTGTATTAAATAAAACTCATTAAATGTTGATGCATTTTTTGTTGAAGTCTTCAATAGAGTACATTGGATTTTCTTATTTTACTCTTATTTTACGTTCAATGCACGGATTACAGTTATTGAGTTAGGCCTATATGAGAATGTTTTTATCAATAGCTACTCATGTAGGTAAAATATACTGTATCTTGAATACAGAAACATTTGTTTATTGCCCGTTGTTAGGTTTTGCACAACATATAGAAAATGTTTACACTACAATAAACAACATAATATAAAATATATTTAAAAATTCCTATGTGAAATAACTCAAAAAGTTTGAGAACTGTTTAACATTCTCAGAGAGTCAAAGCAAATATTGAAGTTGAAAGAGTGGCAAATTTTAAATCAGTAATTAATTCACATCAATCATTTGTTATTATTGACTAGACTTAAATGTGACACAAATCTTCAATGATTAAAAAAAATACATTATTTATAATGATGTCTTAATATTTCAACACAAAATGCAAATAAAAAGCAGAGTAAAAAGGCAGTAGGTTCTTAGAAAAATATACAGTAAGAAATAATTTACTAATTTAAAATAATAACTTTCATAAATATAGATTTTTACGAGCCAACAACACTAAAGTTTGTTCCTCATATAGTCCTATGACTGTGTCGAATCATCATTTTCTGCCTTAACATGTTTCAACAAATGTCTTTTCAATTCAGGTCTTCGTCTGAAAGTTTTATCACAATGCGGGCATACACAGGGTCGCTCATCCGTGTGAGTTAGCATGTGAGATTTCAAGTGTGACCTTTGTGTGGTTGTTTTCGGGCACAAATGGCACTTAAAAGGCCTCTCACCAGTATGTGTCAGAATGTGTGCCTTCAACACTAGCATTTGAGTGAAGGATTTTCCACATTCCTCACAAGTATGAGGTCTTTCCCCGGTGTGTGTTCTCATATGTAACTTCAAAAATCCTCTTCTCAAAAAGGCCCTTCCACACTCCGTACAATGATGATTTCGCTCACCTGTGTGAATGAGCATATGCTGTTTTAACACTACCTTGGATGTAAATGACTTTTCACACACAGTACACTTAAAAGGCCTCTCCCCCGTGTGTGACATCACATGTACTTTTAAACTTTTCTCGGTGGCGTAACTTTTGCTGCATATCATACATTTAAAAGGTCGCTCGCCATTATGACTTGCTATATGCGCCCTCAAACGACTATCAGATGTGAAGGTTTTAGAGCATATCTCACACAGAAAGAGATTATCACCAGAATGAGTTGACAAGTGTGACTGTAAATATTTCATGTTTGAAAATGTTTTTGGACACGAATCACATAAAAATACTTCTCTTGTATGCATTACCATGTGCTTCTCCACCATTGCTTTGGATAGAAACGTTTTGTTGCAAGTCAGGCATTCAAAACTGCACTCAGGAGGACTCTCATCGTTGGTGTGAGTACTTAAATGTAGTGTTAACATTTTTTTACTGACGAATGTTTCTGAGCAGATCTCACAGAGGTAGGTATTTTTGTTGGTCGTAAGCTTACCTTTCCTGGATTTTTTCTTTGGTTTAACGTTTTGAAGACTTTCTGAACACTGATAATGTTCTAAGTGGGTTGATAAATGGGAACTTAAGCGGTCCTCATTTAGGAAACACTTATCACAAATCTTACAATAATGACTCGGAGACTCTTCCTTAGTGTCAGAGTAAGAATAGTCGGATCGAGAAGTAAGATTTTTGGAGGTGCTTTCTATTACTCCGCCTGCTGCATTTTCACGTTCATCAGCAGACTCCATTATTGTTTGTCTTGTAATCACTCTTTATCCTTGATGGAACCTAAAACCAAAAACATTTGAAACATAGTGACTAAATTCTATAGACATAATATTTAAAAATGAATCCAAGCATTTTGGATTCCATGCACTACACATAAGTTACAATGCACGTTTTTCAGATGCATACAGTATTTCTTTCTCATATTTACTAATTAACTTTTTAGCTTATTTCACATATAGGAAATAAGCTATTACCGTAGTACTCATGGTAAGACCTGGACCCCAAGCTGATTTAGCGTACTTTTTTTTTAGGCGGACTATGAGAACAGGGCTTTATGGCACAAAAATAGGGTTTTCCCATTTTTAACCCTAAAAACACAAAATTTCACAATTCTGTCCAAACCATTTTGTCGAGCTTAAAAAAAAAAAATAATAATTTAGTATACTGAAGCGTTATTGTGCGCCTGAATGTTACGGAGAAAATTCTAAAAAATTATAAATTTACAATTCCCATGTTATTCTTATGGAGAATAAGTCATCTATTCTGGTATGCTTGTTTATAACCATATTTAGATCGAATCCGGAGAATACATTCATCATTTCTTACTAAAATATTAACATATAAAAAAACTCTTTTTTACCCTCTTTTTGGCAGTAAACCTAAGTACCGTGTACTCATTAAACTAACCACTAACAGTCCTAGTTAAACTAATTCTATTTAAATAGGGAATAAATGTGATCTTTTAAGGAGGCATTTTAGTGTACATCCAATCAGGCTAATGGAAATTTGCTTAGTCTGCAAGTTTGCTGGGGCGGGGGTATTATGATTTAATCATGTGAAAGAAAAATCCATGTATAAATCCCAAAGTACCCATGAACTTTTGAGAAAACTACAAGCCACACCCCCATAAACCATATACTTAAAATGTTCGTCATGACGAGAAACCTTGCGCAAAACTATCCATCAATTATTTCATAAATTGCCCTTTAAGGTGGTAATTCCTTTCTAAAGGAAACTTTCCCAACACATAAGGTTAAAAATACCTCAGCTGTACTTATTTGTATGTTATTCTTGTATTTGTTATATTTGTATTTCTATTCAACAAACACCATAACTTACCAGTTTTCATCCACAATGGCCTACTCCTAGGCCTATGTAAAAACTAAAAAGCCATAACATTAGCCATGTAGCATTAGCTTGGGCCATGGGCCAAAGAACGTAGGCCTATTTTTAATCACAGTGAAGTACATCACACACTCAGACGACATATTTATCAGTAACAGCACGCCAACTCATCAAATAAAGGTAAACCGACCGATTTTACGAGTATTTAACGCCGACAACAACACAACATATCTACCTACACACCGGTAATCGGAAGGTTAGATATATCAGTTAATCTTACTTTATCGCGTTTCACGATCATCTTTTCCTTTTAATCCACATATTTCCGTTCCAAAATTTGATAAAAAAAAATTTAAGTAGGCTAGCTTAAATTTTATAGACTTGAGTCTAGACCAGCCAGTTCCTGCCTGACAGTGACTAGCAGTGGCTATTGTTTAGTTTTATTTTAATTAATTCGTTTTAAAGTTTTATTTGCTTAACAAATAATTATTACGTCTAAATTATTTCTTGTTTTTCGTTGGTTTGTACCCCGAGACTTGTCGTCTGAGTTCTTCTTGACATGTGATCACTTGTCTCAAATCTTTCCCACAAGAAAACTCGTTTCAGTACCGCCAGCTTTCAGCTCAGATCTAGTCCGGTTAAACCTATGTGCTGATAAAAAAATTTCCGGTTAAACCGATGTCCGGTTAAAAGGTGTCCGGATATGAGGGAGTCTACTGTATTTGGTTTCAAAACTAATCGATTTTATTCCGCATTAAGTAGAGTATAAACAGCTGTTTGCTCTCCTCACTCAGTCCTCAGTGCGGCTGCACTTTACATTAGGTCCTACACTCATTCGAATGAAAATATCGATCGATATATCGATTAATCGATTGTTTCATTCGATAAATTGTTAAACCTTACCTAACTAACCAAACGATATAGGCTATCGAATGAAACAATCGAATAATCGATATTTTCATTTGAATGAGTGTAGGACCGAGTAAGTAAAGTGCAGCCTCAGTTCACATTCGGACCCATCCAGACCACGCTATAATACCATCAGTACCACTAAATGAACCTTAGATTCGAAATTTTAACCTTCGTTTTACATCCACATAGGAAACTCTCAACAAAAACTGATTGCATTTTTGGATTCAGCGTGAAAAACAACTGTAAGTAGACATAAAAAAATTACATGGTATCGCGTTAGACATAACTTATTAAATAATTGCCACCGAGGTTATTAACTATTAAAAAAGAAAATCTGGGCCTTGGCTTTGTGTAGGTGGATCAGTATTTTCTAATAATCTAAACTCTCAGAAAGAAACAGACCTGTAAATGAGTTTATCTTTTCCAAATTAAGCCAAAATAAAGGTGTATTAAAATAATTATTTAATAAAATGTAAACTGCCTAGGGCTAGGCTACGCCTATGCAAACAATTAAATAAAATGATGTTCTTAAGTTAGAGGCTATAATTATTTTACACACCTTTTGTCCATTATTGTCTCCATAATTTTTAAGTCAGAATAGGCTATGCAAATGCTACCTCCTCCTCAAATCTATTTACCCGCTGATTTGATGAATAAATTCAATAAAATGTAGTTTTTTTGTATTATTTAATTATTTGCTTTTTCTTTCATCTTCATCTTCATTCTTCGTTCTTCTCTTCGTTTCGGTTCGGTCTGCTGACGGTCTCGGACTCGGTCTCTGTCTCATTCTTGTCACACAGTCAGAGTACTCAGAACTCAGAGTCAAGTGAGACGGAGACCAGGACCAGACTCAAGTGCAGGAGTGCAGTCCAGTGATCAGCTCAGTCAGTCTCAGTCTCTCACTCGTTCAGCTCAGTCCTGTCCTGTATCCACCCAACCCACTCCACTCTCAACTCAGTAGCATACTAGCATTGACTATATAGTCAATGTCAGTAGTCTCCTCCTCAAATCAAATCAAATCATTTTATTGAGCTAAAATTGACAATATTGCATTAGCTAAGTCATGGTACAAACGTACACTATTAAAATTGTACAGTTTTCCTTATTTTTATTAAACTATACAGTAAGGTATTTATTTACAAACTATGGCTAGACAACAATAATTACAAAGCTCAACTGTGGCTATCTGGCTATGAGCCAGGGTTTACAGCAGTCCCAATTCCTGTGGTCCAATTAAGAATTCTTGGATGCTGTAACAGGAGATATAATATTAACTAACTGTCTTTTTATGCATCTTTTAAATTTTGAGTGGTCTCTGGTCTGATTCCAATTTAAGATAAATGGGAAGGCTATATACAGTTGGATGTCATTGTAAAGAGTATGTTTTTCTGCAATATGTAGCATGTTTAGGAATTGGCAAATTCCTAATAGTTATTTATCCTTTCTTTCTTTCTAGATCTTTAATTCTAGGTGGCGTTCGCAGAGGCTTCCACAAAATTGAGTGGAGTCATCAAGGGTTCATATTGTTTTTGTCATACTGTACAATATGTCATACAGTCGTTTTTAATGCATGCGTTGCGGGTCTAAAGTAGCATTTTTATTCCTTAGGGATTAAAAATCGTTTGTAGTCTCTATGGAGTAAAAATCAGCTGATGTAAACTCAGTTGTAAATTTCTATTGTAAACGATTGCATGTATCGAAATATGTATAGATTCGTGCTTTGTAATCATTTTTAACCTACAGTCTACAGTCTCTTCCCATAGCATTTTAGCATTGCAGATACATTAATCCATTCCCACACTCAACACTGCTCACCTTTACTACTTCCTTCACCACCCCCTACGTCGTGGACATGTTTCCTTCTCTTCCCATAGTATTTTAGGATTGCAGATACATTATAATAATTGCCAAAGGCAGTTCCCCCCTTTCGCATTGCTAGCCTTCACTACTTCTTTCACCATTTTCTATGTCATGGGGATGCGTTCATTCCTTCTCATAGCATTTCAGCATTGCAGATACATTAATCTAACTACTAAAAACGTTTGAAGTTCATTGTTGGTGATGGTGAGTTAATGTTGTTCAAAGGTTTATTGCGGTCATTTTCCATCACGATTGTAAAAAACAATACACAACTGCTATACAGTGCATATTTTTGACTGCTACCTTCTGTACTGTATTCCAACTTAGGTTGGGCGTTTGTGTATTGTTAGTTGTAATATGTTAGTTAAGATTTTTTACCTGAGGACGGGATCAGATTCCAGATCCCGAAATGTTGTGTATTGTTTTTTACAATCGTGATGGAAAATGTCCGCAATAAACCTTTGAACAACATTACTACAAACGGTTTCCAGTTCTCACACTCCACAATGCTCACCACTACTTCCTTCACCTCTTCATACGTCATGGACCTGTTTCCCTCTCTTCCCATAGAATTTTAGGATTGCAGATACCTTAATCTAATCGTCACAAACAGTTCCCACAGTCCGGACTGCTTACCTTTACTACTTCCTTCACCACTTCCTACGTCATGGACCTGTTTCCCCCCCTTCTCATAGCATCATGATTGCAAATACCTTTAGTCTAATGGTCATAAACAGATCCCATACCCGAACAGCTCGTCTTTACTACTTCCTTCACCACTTCCTACGTCTTGGACCTGTTTCCTTCCCTTCCCATAGAGTTTTAGGAATGCAGATACCTAAATCTAATCGTCATAAACAGTTTCCACACTCCAGACTGCTCACCTATACTACTTCCTTCACCACTTCCTACGTCACGGACCTCAAGCTAGTGTCGTCATTTGATTATATTTATGATCCATACAGTTTCTGTTCTAATATCTGTGGAATAATGCTATCAGCTATTTCTTTATCTACTGCATTCAAAAGTCAACAGCTGATCATATGTCTTTGTGTATGTGTCAATGTCAAATACTGTTTCCATAAGGATTACATTGATACTACCAGTGGGGCGGATTCCTGAGGGACTTTTTAAACGCCATATAGATGTTGGCACTCACCGATATGGTCTTTATCACCATGCAAAATTTGAAAACGATTGATTCAACCGTCTAGGAGGAGTTTGCGTATTACGAAATGCATAAGAGTAGACGTATAAGAGCTTCGCTCGCTCCGCTCAAAAACTCTGTTAACTGTCATGTGTATCGATGTAGCTACACTATTATAACTGGTAGAGTTAACAGTATTATTTTTTTAATTACATTTTTTGAAATGATAAATACCATTGATTTTACTTTCTCCAATTTTCCATATAAAAATTAAACACAAAATGTACTGAAAGTTAACAATATTTTTGTCATCAAAATTACTATGTAGTTCATAATCAGAGATGCCTAACCCTATACGGTACTATTGTTGTGGTCTATACCATAGACTAATCAACAAGTAGACTTCTCATCCCAATGTAAATTTTGAACCTCGTTTTTCGTGTTTAGTTGATGCCCGGTGATGATCGCAAGTGTAGGCGAAATTTTGCTTCTATAATTCTTGGGTTAATTTCTTGATTTGTGCTTTACAGATTGCTTATATAACTAGAGGACAAGTTATGGTTTATGATCGTTTTATCTGGTTGAACAAGGTTTGAAATGACTGAAATAACAGGAAAAAGAATTGTAAACAAAATACGTCCTCTACGTAGGCCTACTGTAACAGTGCACTGCACAGAACTAACAATAAAATTGGCATAAGCTGTTCCATTTGGATGATAAATCTACCGAGGGAGTATGTTTTATACTTGCTAATACCTATATTTTCAGTATGTGGAAATTAAATAAATAATATGAGAGATTGTATGTTTAACTAGTTTATGTTTGTTTTAAACGCTCATTTCTGTATTTCGTTCGACTTTTCAACGATGATATCGGATTGCACGGCGAAGTAGATTGTAAGAACACTCGCTCCCTTTTACGTACTAAATACCGGTAGTCATTCTTGTTGATGTTTGAATAATTAATTGCATACAAAAACGCATTTATTGATATTCTTGTATCACTGAGGTGTTTTCTTGACTGTGGACTGAATTGAATGTTTCCTTGCTACAGTCGTATTTCAACTCTTCAAATCGGAGATCACTAATTTGTTTAAACTGTAAGTATGTTACTCATCGTATTGTACGTATAATCTAAAATTTACATTTAATGCATAAAGCTTATTTCAGCGCGAGGGTTATGGCGATGCGTGTGCTTAAATATTGTATATATATATATATATATATATATATATATATATATATATATATATTGTAAGTTTTATAGTTGGTGAAATGACAAGAACAAACGTCAAAATACACTGTTGGTACAACGGATAGTGTTAACATAGAATACTTTAAAGTTGTCTTAATTTATTACATGCGATATGGAACTTTCATGAGAACAATGTAATAATTCCCAATTTATTTTTACAAGTATAGCCTACATTCCAGCATTGGCATTGGTCCGTAAACTCTGTAATCATTGACTAATGCGTACACATTAGTCAATGATTCCAGATTCTACGGACGCTAAGGACTCAGGTCGGGGTGATGAGGACGCAACAGCATAACCCGGTGGTAAATAGGTGATCCTTTTTTGAGAAGACAAGGAGCGCATCCGCATCTTCGGCGCACCGAATCTATTTCCCCGTACCATATGAGATTGTGGGTGTTTGGACAAGATAAATCTAGATTGCTGCGTCCAGACTCCAGAGCCTGACTAGAGCCATTGACCGAACAAACATTATACCTTGACCTGCCACACGACACACACACACACACACACACCAAGGCACGTGCAAAGGTGCTAACCGGTCCACACGTGTAACACCCAGAACCCGTCACCCACTCTCCCGTGTCAACATTGTGACCGACCAAGAGTAGGCCTGCAAATAAGTGAACGGTCCCCATGAAGCTGAAATTAATTTTAAAGTCACATATTATTTTTAATGTATATTGCTATGACATTTCTGTAACCTAAGACCTTTCTCTTATGAAATTTGTTAATGAAAAGACATGGTTCAAATGATTGAGATATGAGATATAATATACTACTGTATTATTGAATATAAAATAACATTGATAAATCTGAAAATGATGGATTTTGGAGTAGACAGAGTGTGCATTTCGCGTTACACGAGTTGCAGGAAGTTTTAGGCTAATAGTTTTTAAAAGTTGTAAAAGTTTTAAAAATTTAAACTCTTTCCAAGCAAAATCATAACGCATCTGAGTTTCAAATAGGTTTCAATTCGGGGAATCATTTTGTAAAAAATTAGAGATGAGCATCAGTTTAGTAGTGAAAACAATTATCCTCAATACGGTGTCGCCAGAAATAGGGGGTTGGAGAGTGCGGTGCATCTCGATTCAGGATTCGGTTAAATCTACATTTATGATAAGTGTTAAGGTTTGATACCATCTTTTAACTGTAATTGTTTTCACGTAAAAACGAGCTCTTAAAAATGCAAATTCTAATCTCAAATTTGAATACAGATGTGATGGATCTCGATGTTTGTGAATAATTTGTAATATAATTGATGATGCAGTCATATTAGTCGTGCTTCGAGAACCATACTAATTCGTCCAGCTTTTAAATGTCATACTTTTTAATACATTTACATATTATTGACCTAGGAACTCCACCTTAAAAACTGCATTCAACAAAAAAACAATCAACAAATTACTACACATTAATTTTTTACACAACTAATTTTACTCCCGAAGCACCTC